TTTTTTTTTTTTTTTTTTTTTTTGCAGAGAGCCGATGTGGCCGTGGCTCCTTTAACTATCACCTTGGTCCGGGAAGAGGTGATAGATTTCTCCAAGCCATTTATGAGTTTGGGGATCTCCATCATGATAAAAAAGCCGCAGAAGTCCAAGCCGGGGGTCTTCTCCTTCCTCGATCCTTTGGCTTATGAAATTTGGATGTGCATTGTCTTTGCCTACATTGGAGTGAGTGTCGTCCTTTTCCTGGTCAGCCGCTTCAGCCCCTATGAATGGCACAGTGAAGAGTTTGAGGAAGGGCGGGACCAGACAACCAGTGACCAATCCAATGAGTTTGGGATATTCAACAGTTTGTGGTTCTCCCTGGGAGCATTCATGCAACAAGGATGTGACATTTCTCCCAGGTCAGTCAGCTCTTCTCAACCCCTTTGCTCAATGCTTATTTTTCTTGGAAAACAAAGCAAATATTGGAAAGTTAAGAGATAGGAATTATTTCCAGACTTCACTGTATTCAGCTTTTCAGCTATGCTTTACAGCCAACTGTCCAGTGCATGCTGTCCATCGGCTGGATGCATCCTGTGTCTGAGCCAGCTCTGTCTGCTATCTGGTTGATGTGCTCCATCAAGATTAATAGGGATAATCACAAGTCTGATGTTCTGTAGCTGCAAGGAACAGAGAAGGGATGGAGGAGAGTATGGTACAGCTAACACTTAGTAAGCACCTACTATATGCTAAGCAAGGGTTTGAGTCCCATACATCCATTATCTCACTGATTCCTCACAGAAGCATAAGGTGGGACTCTTGTTATATCTTCTTTCATAAATGAGGAACCACACAAATGTTGAATATCTTGCCAAGGTTACAGAGCTTGTAGCTAGGTGAGTTGAGATTCAGACCACCATCCTATGCGACTTTCTAAATGATGGGAGGAGAGCACTGAACTATGAGTGGGTTCTAGTACCGGCTATAGCATGCTAGGTATGGCCCTGAGTAGGTCACCTGACCTAGCAGACCTAGGTTTCTTCATTTTTAAGAGAAAAGGGTTCTCTTTTTCTTAGTTCTGAACAGACCTTGGAAATAATCTAGTTCTAATGGTGATGTAAATTTGTTTCTTGTAGTTCGAACATGGGATTTCTCAGAGGTGCCTCAGATAGTGCATTGAGAGTGCTAGGGTGCCCAAATCAGTGAGGCCGCAGCCTCCACATGGAACCACAGTAGGTCCACTTTGTCTGTTTTATACATTAGACTGCAAATATTATTGTTTTTTCAAAAAAATGATTCCTAAGCCAAGAAAGGAAAAAAGGAGGAAGGATGGAAAGGCAGCGGGGGCATAAAAGAAACTTGAAAACTCCCAATCTAGCCCAGTCCTCACATTTATTGACCTCCTGTCTTTGTGTATGATGTTCTTTCAACTACATTCTGGAATGTTCATGTGACAGATCCCCTCCAGTTTATCTGATATACAAGCACTGACTGTATTTCCCTTTCCTTTTACAGTTGTTCAGTGTCTATGAACTCCTTTTCCATTAGGCAGTCCCTTGTAGACTACCAAGTTTCTAAAGCATGTGGGGAGGCATGACTTAGAACTTGGCTGTCATAAATAGATTTGCACACATTGTCACCTTCTGGGGGCAAGTTACATAAATATTAAGGCCTTATAGGCAAGTGCTGGAGGCATCTTAGCCACCTGTCTGTTTTGCATTTGAGTGTCAATGAGAACCAATATTCCTGAGTAGCAAAGGAATAAAATCTTCCTAAGGATCTTCCCTCAGGACTCATTTTGGCTGCTGTATAATTTAGGTAGTCTCATTGTTCACCATTATAATCTTGTTTTTCTTTAAATAAGAAGACAGTTGGGGGGTGGGGTGCGTGGGAGAAGAGGTGTGAGACTGGATGCTTGGCCAATACTGGCAAACACATGGTGAAGAGTAGACAGAACCAAGTAGGGGAAGGACTTGCTTAAAAATAAATCAGGCCAGTAGATAAACAGTGGGAAGAAATGACTCTTAGCTAGTCAGTATAACATAGGGCCATCACAATATGCATATGCCCAAAAAGACCCATGGGCTTGTTTTTCTCCATTATTTCCTTCATCAGTGGGCATCTCATCTTCTAATGGCACCCAAGTGGTCTGACCTCAGGATACGTTTTCAGAGCCTCCACCCATTCTCCGATTGTCTCAAATTGGTGGCCCACAAAAGCTAAGTCCTCTGGGAGGCATGTTTGTGTTTGATCCGCACAGAATTTGGTAATGGTTGTGCAAAGCTGAGTGGCAGCCACCCCCTTAGCTGATCCTTGCACACTCCACCGCACTGCAGCCCCCAGGTAACCACCTTCATTCCTTTGTTACTCAGCTGGCCCCTGGGAGAGTATTTGCGTTTGTGACCTCGGGCTGCAAAAGGATTTTCAAACACTGTCTCCAGGTCTTCTAAGGGTTCCACTAGAGTATCTTAGGAACCGACACTGAGGTGAAAAGGAGACTATGAAGGACCCATCCCAGCCTCCTTCCTCCCAATCTTTGATAGAACACCTCCACTCTATGCCTGTTTTTTTTTTTTACCCCCCACTGGTAAAATGGAACTGTTACCACCTTAAGTATTGTTATGAGGTTTAAAATAGATTGATATATGTAGGACCCATAATATAATATCCAGGAAGCACTATAAGACAAGGGCCATTTTTTATTATTTTACTGATTTTATATATTGGGCTTCTACTAAACTTCACTGGAAGAAAGGGTGCTCACACTGATGTGAAAGCCACTGGACTTCTCCCTTCTTGCGAAGTCCAGGGACAAAGCAGAAACAGCCAGTGGTTGATCCCAGAGACCAGCAACACCAGGATTCCTGAGACTTCTTCTCACAGGAACTGGGAGGAAGGATTTGTCATTTTGGATTAAAGAGTCTTACAGACAAAAGAGTAAACATTCCAGAATAAGAAGTAATATCTACTTGAGGTGACTTTTCCTTATCAGGCCCACCCTGGCCATTCCCAGAGCTTAGAGGCCTGTAGAAACCCTGAGAGTCAGAGTATACACTACAGTGTGTCCTGGAAATACACGCTAAAAAGAAAAGGCATGTACTTCATCTCACTTGGGCCATACAAAAAAGACAAGGACACTTAGACAGTGAGTGATCAGAGCCAGAGACCAAGCAAGCAGCTGCAAACATCAACAGAAGCTTTTATTGTTGCTGTCTATGTATTCCCTGATGAAGTCATACGTGTCATGAGCCTCTGACATGCAAAGTACTGTGTCAGAGACACTCTGGGTGCTGTGGTGGGAAGAACTTTAAGGGGCTTGTTTGCATCAAACATCCTTTCAAACGAGCTTCAATTAGTTACTCTTGCTGTTTACTTAAAGAAAATATCGTAAATCCTCACTAATTTAGAATTTGGGAAACCAAGTGCCATCTGAATTACATGTATGTACATTCATACACAAGTAGCTTTATCTCTTTTAATCTCTTCAAAGTTCATGTTAATGTCTGTCACCCAAAAGCCAACAAAATGTAGCTAAATGTGGTTGCCTGCAATTAACACAATAATCTGACCACAGCAATATGAACAGATAGTTATCTTTCTTACATTATTAGAAAAGCAGAACTAGGGGCGCCTGGGTGGCGCAGTCGGTTAAGCGCCCGACTTCAGCCAGGTCACGATCTCGCGGTCTGTGAGTTCGAGCCCCGCGTCAGGCTCTGGGCTGATGGCTCAGAGCCTGGAGCCTGTTTCCGATTCTGTGTCTCCCTCTCTCTGCCCCTCCCCCGTTCATGCTCTGTCTCTCTCTGTCCCAAAAATAAATAAACGTTGAAAAAAAAAAAAAATTAAAAAAAAAAAAAAAGAAAAGCAGAACTAGTCAGTGGTTCATGGTTCAGTGAAATCAGGATCTACTGTTTTGTGACTTTCTTGACATTTTCTCATATTCACAAGATGGCTACACCAAGATATTGCGTCCATGTTCAAACAACAAGAAAGGGAAGGAGTGTTGCCATTTCTGTCTCTTTGGATCAGAAAAACAAAAGCTTAATGGAATACTCCCTACCCCAGCAGCTGATATCTGCTTCTGTCTTATTAGTGAGAACAGTGGCCCTTCCTTCCTAGTGGCAAGCAAGGCCAGTAGAGCAAGAATTTAGGTATTCTAGCCTCTAGAGGGGAACATATGGGGATAGATGTTGGGGTGGGTCACCAGCAGCACTGGCCACAGTGCCTGAAGTCAATGTTTTTCTGCACTTATATCATGAATAAATCATCTGTAATTAACACATTCAATGACATATGTCAGTAAATCCTCTTGAAATTCTTTAAAGACTTTTCCCATCTCCCTTTAACATATTTATATGTGAAATTGGTTTTGTGCAAGCCATTTTAATATTCAGAGTTACAATTCAGTTTAGCTGTGATCACACATTACAATTTTTTTCATTAGGCCGATGGTGAGATTAAAATGCTATCCATGAATTGACTTCATAGGCCTGCTTCTTGTGTCCAACGACCTATTTTTAAGAGATCTTTAGATTCATTTTCCCATGGAGAGGAACATTTTGAGAAGAGATATATTAAAGGAGGGACAAAACTGTCAAAACAGCAAAATTTATGTTTAGTTCCCTCAGTCTTCTTTTCTGTACCCTTTTCCCCCTATTTGTGACCAGTGTCATTCATTTATTGGCCATGCATGGCATGCTGCAGTGGGCTGAGGATATGACAATATATATCAATGAGCAGCATGGGGGCTGGAGTGTTTGCTTCAAGGATCTGGCAAGAATAGTGCTGTAAGACCGACATTAAACAGGCAATTGTGAATGTATAAATTGTGATGTGCTATGAATAAAATGACTCTGCTATAGCAATAGATAATAAGGGAAGTAGAATTACAGGGGACTTACTTAAGGAGTTCTGAGAAAGTTTCTCTGAGGAGTTGATAGGTGAAAAAGAGGTAGGCTTACATTGAACTGAGAAACATACTAGCCATGTGCAAGGGTCTGAGATGGAAAAGAGCTTAATGCTTTCAAAGATGGAAAGAGTACCCAGTGAATGAGAACAGGGGTTTGAGATAACATTAGAGAAGTAGGCAGAGTCCAGATTATGCAGGACCCTGGACTGTAGTATAGTTTTGGAGTTTTACTTTCAATACATTGAGAAGACATTGGAGAGTTTTAAGCAAGGCAAGGATTGATTTACATGCTAAAATACCACTCCAGGGAGCTATGAGGAAAATGAATTGGGCAGAGAATAGTCAAGAGTGGAAGCAGAGAAACCAAGCAAGAGGATCTTATGGCTGTCCAGAGGAAATTACAGTGATGGAAATCATGATGGTCAAGGAGATGGATTTGTGGGATACTTTGAAACTCGAACTGACAGCACTTGCTGATGGACTGGATATATAAGAGTGAGGAAAGGGAAGAGTCCA